ATTTTTAAAAAATAAAAAAAATAATAATGATAATAATAATAATAATAATAATGGAAATAACAATGATGATAATAGCAATATTTATAACGATAATGAATTTATTGGAATTCTGTCTGTCCCCTCTTTCCAGGTCCGTGAGATGCTAAAACGTGAAAAGATGAAAAAGTTCAAGAGGAAGAAGAACAAACCCAACCAGATCCCTATGCTGACGACGGGCCGAATGAACAGAATGCATCGCATCCGACACTCTCGCAGAAGAAGCAAAGTCCGTAAAGGCTGAGTCTCGCGGTCTTCCACTTTCCCTTGTCCCTGTTGTTATTGCATAGATTTACCTCATCCATAATGTGAAATACCCATCTGTTATTTATACATTGCTGCACGTATACTGCCCGCTAGTGTTCAGAAGACGCACGAAAGTCATGAGTTGTTCTGATTGGTCAGTTATGTCGTCCAATGTCTACTCACATACGCTACACTCTGTGAATATGGTTGGCTAATAAAAATTGCGCTCGAATCAGGAAGTGGTGTATGCTTGCTTCATTCGATATGGTGCTTACGTCAGCAAAATCGTGCTTTCGCCTGAAACGGTTCTGTGATTGCCTCAGCAGATATTGAGCTCACTCCCGATTCGAGGTCGCTGACTGACCTCTAAAGCACAAGCCTCCAGGGGGAAGTGAATGAAGCACAACATTGTCACCCACCACAAACAAATGTGTGGCATCGTGGTGAAACCAGGCGCTCGTCTCACAGAAATACAACCCCCCCCCGAGAATAAATAAATCGAACAAATCAATAATTTTCTACCTGTTATGAAATATTTTTTTTATCGATTTGCTCTTTAACTCTACGTCTGTTATGTCCATTTAAAAGCACATATATATGAGTGGATTTTGTTGAAAGAACATTGATCAAAGGCACACAAAAAATGTACATTTGCATTTTCCAAAGATACTCCAGCTTTGGAGGTCACATAGCCTTGGCAGCCATTTTTTTTCTTCAGTTTTTACATCTGACACCAGGCGACACCCACCTTCTTTAATCACAAAAATATCTCGAATCCTCTTCAAAATGGATGAGTATTTTCTTCCACTAAAGCAAGACAAATGTTCCCGTTTTTGAATTGTACAAATCACTCTATGTGTCCAAAAATTGACGAGCGCCTGATTCCATCGTGTCATGGCACAAATGAAACTGGCTTACTGAGCACGGGTTAGCATTAAAAAAATGGCACTTGCATTATGGCTACTAATGTCGTTAACAACGCAAAACCCAAGTTAGCTAAGCACTCATTGTCATCTTCATATTAATTAGTTGTTCATTGTATAGTTATTGGCTTTTGTGACATCAAACGCCTTGCTTGTATTGCGGAAGTCTGTGCCTCTAGAAGACTTGAATACTGCAATTTAGTTAAACAATTCATCTAAACCCTCTACACTTTTCACTTGAAGTCTGACACAGACAGACTAGATAGGGGTTCAAAAATGAGAACTTGGAGGAGGCAAAATCTTGTCACGCTGAAAGTTGAAACATAAAAAAGGACTTTGTGACATCATGCAGAAAAATTCATGCCATGGTCACATTACTACAGTTCGTGACGTCATACCACATCGTGTGACGCTAGCCGTAGTGACATTTTACCCCAAACGGTCACATAATGTAACGGTAGAGACCTGGAGACCAGACTGCCACGTCACGCAATGTCTGTTCACATCGGTAGTCGTCTCGGACACGGGAGTAGCGTTCCTCCGTTGATTTTGATTTTTCAGAATTGTCAGTCTATTAGCAAAAAAAAACGGTTTGCATAACTAACAATGGGGGTCTTTTTTAATGTGCTATCATACTTTCAGCTGTCGAGAAATGTTCCAGGAAGAGCACCATGCAGGATAAAGTGTACAGCAACATCTCTGATCTCCTGTAGTAGAGTCAAAGTCAGGGCGTCTAGTCTAATCTATAGTCTAGTCTAGTCTAGTTCAGGTCAGTTCAGTCCAATCCAGGCTAACCTAGCCTAGCCTAGCTTTAGTTTAGTTTAGTTTAGTTTAGTTTAGTTTAGTTTAGTTTAGTTTAGTTTAGTTTAGTTTAGTTTAGTTTAGTTTAGTTTAGTTTAGTAGTTTAGTTTATTAGTTTAGTTTATTAGTTTAGTTTATTAGTTTAGTTTAGATTAGTTTAGTGATTATGGAGATTAAAGAAGTAAGAGATACCTGTGACACAATCCTGTCACCTGTTTGCGTTTATTCTTTTATACCAATCAGAGATACAGGAAAATGAGGTTCATTTGCCTAGTGAGACAATCAGTAACATAGATGTCATTGTATATTGTTGTTGACCATAACGGGGTTCTGTGCATCAATTCCGCATTCTGCACTTTTAATCGTCATTGTTGCAATTGAGGTAAAATATCGTGTAAGAAGTCAGTAGAATTAGACACACAACTTTCTAGGACGGCATAGAATTGGTATATAATATACGTGTATATAGGACGTTCATACTTATCATAGTCTATGTTATCTATATCTGCGTAATTATCAGAACGTTCTCACCTAGTGAGGCCAGAATTTGTTTTTCTTTAAACTGAATCTGCTGGTGAGCTTATAGGATCTTATGCTTGTGGTTACTACTGTTGTTTTTTATTTTGCATGCACGATGTTCTATTCGATTGTATGAATTACTCTGTCGGGCGGATATAGAAGGTCAGTGAAATGAAATGATAATAATACAATCCTTTTAATTAATGTTCTGAACTTAAACTTGCATTACCCTTACTGTTTAGACTGTATTATGAGATATTGTTCATATCATTTGTTGCTATCCTGTCCATTATTCAAAACATTTGTTTGATGAGAATAATGGTTACATTGATTTAAATATGACCTTGTCACGATGAGGTTGTATTCGTCAAGTTTATCATTTTCATGCACAGTCAATGATGCCTCTTGTGAAACTTAATATCAAGCACGCATACATACGCACACGTTCATTCATACACACACAAAACAAACAAGCAGTCAAACAAACATACAAATAAAAATAATGTTCACCCTCTCGTGCGTACACATACGCACACATCCACACCTCCACACGCAAGTACACACACCCACTCACCCACAAACCCACAAACCCACATGCATACACAAATGCTCTCACAAACGTACAATCAAGCGTGCATACAACTAACTCGTGGTATGCCTGTATGCCGTTAATGAACATGAACTGAAACCAGTATTCTGTGATACATGCATGTTAAATTATGGCCTGTACAAATTACACGTTGGCTTTTGTCTCGACTACTTCATTGTTGATCAAAATAATCATTGTGTACAGAAACATGTTGTCATGTCGTGGATCTAGAAGTGATAATGTTTATTTGAGTAAAGAAAAGCACATCACCGTAGCAACAGTCCTTAAGTGCAAGAAAAATGTACGATCAGATAGACAGACGAAACGACTTAGAGTATGGATATAAGTATAGAACCTAGTATTAGCGCTCTCCAGTCACCGGGTGGAGAAGCACCAAAGTCCCACCCTGCTTTAAGAAAAGTAATAGATAAGCTTTGGGGTTGTTTTTTCTCAACAGTTAATTTACCTTTTTTTAAAATTAAATTTGAAGGTTTGTGCTTTTAACAAAGAATGCTAAAGCTATTTGAAAATCACAGTCTTGTTTTAGGTTGAAATGTTTTCCGTTTTCTGATCAACGTAAATGTGGACTTGATTTTTGGCACGTTTAGTTTACGACATATTATTATATTTGCTTTTGTTTGTTTTTGTTTTTTTTAGTTTTAATTGATCGATAAATCATAAATTTTAGGCTTCAATTCATCTCTTTGTATACAGATCTACAATTTATTGTATCTTTTAATATTATTTTTCAAAGATGCTCGGTGAGAAAATATTTCAATTAAAACAGAAGCCGTTTGCTTATGTTGCATGTAGGTACGGAAAGTTCTTGAAATAAAGTCATAATGCTGCATTATTCATGCGTACAAAGTAGATACGCTTCGAAACAAAGAAATTAGTCTTTAATTCTTTTACGTATTGTTAATGCTAATTGCCTGTTTTACCTTCTGATTTGTTAACGCTTTCCTTGTGTGAATATGTACATATATATATACAGGTTATGTGTATATACATGTATACGGAAGGCATTATTTGTTTTGAGTTTTATGTTTGACTCTTTGAGAACAAACTTCGAAACTTCATGATACATTTGCAGAGGCAATCATTTTTGCTACTTGGAGGGCAGGGACCGATGTATCATATTTCATCAATACAGTCTTCTGGGAGAAACGAAATACAAATAGATGTACTCATGTACCCCTGCACTGTGTATTACACAATGTTCCTTTGTCCAAATTATAAAGAGTTTCTCGGCTCTTTGGATTGTCAGAGACTTACTGACGCATTCTCCTTTCTACTATTTCACACCTCTAAATTTAAAGATAAACGAATGGCTTTTATCAGGTATTTTGGTGAGTCGGTCTCCTATCATCGAGGAGTTGACATTGAGTTTTTCACACAACTGTTATTGTTTTTCATTCTCTGTCTATGTGTTGACAAACGAGTGGCCATATAACCAACATCAAATCTAAAACGTGTCTTAAGATTTAGGTGCAGTGTGGGGTTATGGATGGTTGGGGGGGATAGGAGGGGGGTTAGATATGTGATTTTTCTTCTTTTATTGTTTTTTTTTTGGTTTGTTTGTTTGTATGTATGTTTGTTTGTTGTTGTTGTTTGTTTGTCGTTGGGTTTTTTTCGGGGGGGGGGACTGCTTAGGTATGTAAAGATAAAAAAGGGGAGGGGTGGTTTACATAAAAGTCTTAAATCTCCTCTATCAGAGTTCTAGTCACATTGTTTTTGTATTAGTAGGGCCTATTCTATCTGCAGATTATATTTGTTGTTTCTTACAACATCCAGTACACTTACGGCGGATATAAAACAGCTCTGCTTTCTCATGGCCACACTATAGACAATATTGTCAACATAACCACAATGAAGACGTCTATTGACTTTATGGTACCAAGCTAAGAACTTTTAATAATTCTATCGAGAGACATAATATGTGAGGCAGCGTGGTGGAATCAGGCTCTCGTCAATTTTTGGGCATGTAGAGTTATTGGTACCATCTTAAAGCTTGTTCACGTGTCTTTATTTGTATGAAAAAAGTATCCCTTTATCTTGAATACAAGTAGAGATATTTACGAAAGAAGGAGGTGGGGGTCACCTGTTTTCGGAGGTAAAATTAGTGAGAAAATGGCCGCCAAAGATTAGTTATTTCCTTAGCTTAAGAGTCCGTGGTAACTGAAAATTCATATGTCCTGTTCCTTTAATCAACGTTTTTAAGAAAAATCCACGCAGAAATGAGTTCTTTAATAGACAAGAAAGGTGTTGAGTCAAAAAACAAAAAATTAATAAAAATTCACAAACCTGCGGAAAAATGCAAGTTACTTCATTTTGATTATTTTGACGAGAGCCTGATTCCACCCACGCTGCCTCACTTATTGTACACAATTCACTCAAAAAAACACTTTAAAGGTAAACCCCCCCCCCCCCACCCACCCCTCTCAATAAAACAACACAAACACCAATACCAAGCCACCAAACAATCAAATGGGTGTCTGTCTTGCTGCCCTGTGTTTTGCGGAAAGTATTTTCTGGAAATGTAATCTGCTGTCCTCATGAATTTTGAAAGATTAAAGTCTTACTCTGCAAATTTTGATCAAAGAAAAATACTCATTAAAAATCCACCCGCCCACCAAAAATAAAAAATGAAAACTAAAAAAAATAAATAAAACAATAGTAGAATAAAAAACGAAAAAAAAAAAAACCCAAAAGAAAAGAAGGAAAAAGATCCACCCAACCTTTCAACCTTTTAAAAAGTGTTAACAATCATCGCTATTTAGTCGTTCATTGTGTTATCCAATCTGGTATTCTCTCTGCGTCAAAGGTGTTTTTAGACTGAAAAGAACTTTGCCATAATTCGTGCTTTTTGTTATCCATAATGCAAAAGTGATGGCACACAAATTATTGTGCTCATTATGTCTTTTTCCTGTTGCTCGTCATGTCACCAAGCTGAATCCACAAAATATGTTTGTATTTTTTACCATGAACTTGCGATGTAACCTTGACATAATACCGATGCTTGGCTTTAAATAATATCCTGTATATTTGAGTACCTTTCAGTTCAAGCTTAATTGTACTTTGTATGTGATATAAGCTGGCTCTGAGCACCCAAAAAAAAAGAAAAAGAATAATAAGTAATTTTTAAAAATACTGCATCTTTACCCATACTTGTGCAATAGTATTGTCTGTCTGACTGTTGATTTTGTTTATTTGTATCTTCAGAGTCACCAGTTAGAAGCCACTGATTTCGTTGAATAAATTATAATGAATTTGAAATGATATTCGTTACAGAACTTGCATTGTATCCTTTAGTAAATAAACACTTGTGAAGATAGTCATTGACATAGCTTGTTGTATTTTGTGTTTTTTGTTTCTGTTTCTGTTGTGATAGATCATTTGGGATGTAATGAATGAGTGAATAGGCCGATTGAAGAAACGTGCGCGCAAAGGTCACACACACACACACACACACACACACACACACGCGCGCGCGCGCGCGCGCACACATACACACACTATGCTCTCCCCATTTCTCTCTCTCTCCTCTCTCTCTCTCTCTCTCTCTCTCTCTCTCTCTCTCTTTGTGTGTGTGTGTATGTGAAGGTGAGTAAGGAACAGAAAGAGAAGGAGAAAGAGAGAGAGAGAGAAAGAGAGAGAGAGA